TCCCAAAGTGCTGGGATTACAGGCATGAGCTGCCACGCCAGTTTATTTGCTCTTTTCTGTGTGAGCTTGAATGTTTTTTTCTTACAATTATGAGCCTTTGTATTTTCTTTTCTATAAATTTTCATTTTATTTATTTATTTATTTTTTGAGACAGAGTTTCACTCTGCCGCCAGGCGCCAGGCTGGAGTGCAGTGGCACAATCTTGGTTCATTGCAACTTCCGCCTCCCGGGTTCAAGTAATTCTCCTGCCTCAGCCTCCCGAGTAGCTGGGACTACAGGCACGCGCCACCATGCCCAGCTAATTTTTGTATTTTTAGTAGAAACGGGGTTTCGCCATTTTGGCCAGGATGGCCTTGATCTCTTGACCTCGTGATCCGCCCGCCTCGGCCTCCCAAAGTGCCGAGCCAATTTTAGGGATTATAGGCGTGAGCCACCGCGCCCAGCCAATTTTATTTATTTTTGAGGCAGAGCCTTGCTCTGTCACTCAGGCTGGAGTGTAGTGGTGCGATTACAGCTCACTGCAGCCTCCACCTCTCACGCTCAAACAATCCTCCCACCTCAGCCTCCTGAGTAGTGCGCACCACAGGTGTGTGCCACCATGCCTGGCTAATTTTTTAACTGTTTTGTAGAGATGGGGGTCTTGCTATGTTGGCATACATTTGGGTCTATTTATGGACTTTTAATTCTGTTTCACTGAACTTTCTGTTTGTCTGATTGATATGTCTTAATATTGAGAAGGCTAGTCCCATCCCATTATTCTTCTTTTCCAGACTTTTCCTTGCTATTTTTGCTTCTTCCTTTTTCCTATCCATACAAATTTTAGAACTAGCTTGTCTAGTTCTAAATGCTAAAATTCTGTTGGCATTTTATTTTATTTATTTATTTATTTTTGATGGAGTCTTCCTATGTTGCCCAGGCTGGGGTGCATTCGAGCGATCATGGCTCACTGCAACCTCTGATTCCTGGGTTCAAGCAATTCTCCTGTCTCAGCCTCCGGAGTAGCTGGGACTACAGGCGAATGCCACCGTGCCTGGCTACTTTTTTTTTTTTTTTAATCTTTAGTAGAGACAGGATTTCACTGTGTTAGCCAGGGCGGTCTCGATCTCCTGACCTTCTGATCCACCCGCCTCACGCTCTCAGAGTGTTGGGATTACAGGCGTGAGCCACCGTGCCTGGCCTCTCTTGGCATTTTATTAAGATTATATTAAATATATTATAGGGAGAACTCTTGAATACAGCTTTATCAGCTTAGCTGGTAACTACTGTCCTTAGCATCTGAGAGGCCCAGACAAAAGAGCGCCAGCAGCAGACCTACCTGCATGGGTCCCTTTGGGGTGGACTCAGTATCAGGGGTCAGATTGCAGACACAGCTTTAGTGACACAAACACAATGTGAGAGAGCTTAAGACTTTTTTGTACTTTCAGATCCTGGAGGGCACCATGTCCTGCCCAGCCTGCCCCCAACATGCACACACCCACACATGCACACATGCACATATGTGCCCAGGTCAGAGAGGACAGGCAGATAAAGACAGAAGACATTTGTGGGCCAATGTCTTTATTAGGTCGTGTGTTATCCAAACAGGGTTCCCTTGAGAAGCCTTAATTGGTGGATTTAAAGAAAGCAGGTCCAGGCTGCCCAACATGGCGCCACCTCCCATCTCTTCCCCACCCCCAATCCCTTCAGCCTGGGTGACAGAGTGAAACTTTATCTACAGAGAGAGAGAGAGAGAGAGAGGAGAGAAAGAGGGGA